CCCGCCACCCCCATTTAACCCTCACTACAACCCTATCAAGCAGGAGACTCTTTTGCCCCTGCTTCACAGCTAAGGAACCCGGGGATTTAGGATTAGAACCCAGGTTGGTCTTTTTTCCGAAGCCCATGACCTTAACTGTGAACTACACTGCTCTGGCAGTGTGAGAATCTCTGGTCTTCCTCGTGCAGTTGAACACGATGTGACTTTGCTTTTGTTGTGAAACCTGGCTCCCTCGGACTCGCTGACGTTTGCCATGCTTGTCCTGAGCTTCTCCAGAGAAATGCTGTCTTCTGGCAGGAAAAGATAAAAACGGCTGATACAAATGAGTCACCACACTCGCTATAATTAACAGTGATGCAAGAGCCAGATGCAGACTAAGGGGGGCCTCGGGACCCGACTTTTAGGCTGCCCGAACTGTGAGCTGCACGTCAATGCAGAAAAGAGTTCCAGGTCTGAGCTGCCTTTTGTTCAAGATACGTTTTAAAATGAAGAGATGAAACCCGGAAGCAAGCTCCATGATAATGGAGCTGAGGGGGGCAACACCAAATTAATCTCCTTATTTACAACTGAAAAACCACACACCAGAGCCAGAGTGTTTATAGTTTATAGATAATGTAGATTTTGCTTTCACACTTGGCTGCCCTGGAAAGTCTAAGAAGTTTTCAACCTGCTGAGCTGATTTATAGCAACTATAGCTATAAATTCAGTTGTACTGGGCATATACTTCTGTGCATATAGTGTGTAGCTGCGAACTTTACAATAAAGACCAGTTATCATCAGCACCTCTTTAGTCTCTCTGACCTGAAAAAAGCAGCGATGCCACGATCATCCGATTAACATGAACCCCAAAACACAATTACCACCATGCCACCCATCTGATCGCAGCACCAGCAAAATCACTTTAGGATGCAAGGAGAAGGCAGTGCTCTCTGGCTGCTTCTACGGCAAAGCGCTGCCTCCTGAGGTTCAACAGAGAGAAATAACTAGTGTGGTCAGGACCCGGAGAGACTCAACCAGTGGTCATCAATGTCGGCGGCATCTTCTGACCTATTTAAAAGAGGGTCGACTGCCCTCGAGATTTGAACACAATGAAGCGGATAGAATCTTGTCACTTTCCTTTTGAACAGACTTTAATTGAGAGCGAAGTGAAAAATGCAGGTTACATTTTTAGTGTTATCATCGATACCTTGTAAGATCAACACCAAGACAGTGATGCAGCTAACATTTATACATTTCCTAACTTTAGTTGTCAAAGAGCAAATCATCGTCAGATACATATATTTACACAATAATTTCAAGCAACAGTAAATAATAAACTCCCTCCCTTAAGACACACACACGCATACAGGCACACACACACGTAGCCGATTACCTTTAAACAATGGATTTCCTCACACTAAGTCTCATTTTTTTCACGTAGCCTCTAGAACCAAAGTTATTTAAGTTACTCAAGAACAGTCTTATCAGTGGAGATCCTGGACCAGCCCCTATCTCTTTTAGAGTTACTCTAATTTTTACAACTTGAAGCCACATAACCAGCGTGGTCTGTACACTCTAAGGACACCCCGAATGATAAAAATGAATTCCACTTCCTTTGTGTGAGGAGATACGTACATTTCTGAAGATGCATATGATTACAACTCAAAAAAGTCAAAAATAAACACGAAACCAAAATCTCAGGTCTTCAAGCACAGTTTCTTAAGAGCATTGTGCTAATGTTAACATTGAATTAACTGAAAATTAACTGAACGGTAAGATTCTTTTAGATTTCTCTATAGAGGTACTGGTTAGTTCTGATTCTTTTTTCAGCTGCTTGAAACGCATGAGTTTTAAAAGTTGCCTGGTAGTGCTCCATCCTGCCTTCCAGGTTAGCAGCCAGCCTAACCTCCGGAATGTCTGAAGGGGCTCACCCCCAGGGCCTGGCTCTTTGATTTATTTCTTGCTATTGCTATTAGTAAATGGAAACCATGACAAAGTTTACATTAGCAGACACATACACATGCCCTGGCCTATAAATATTCTATGATGGAAAATGGTACAATGACTCCATTCCCAGTGAAAATGAGCATAAAAGGAGGAGAGGGTGGGGGAACATCATCAACAATGGTTCTTCTTACACTGGAAAAGCCAGACCAAATGGTGATGGGCTTTAACTAACCGGATGTTGTTAGCCACTTCTCCAGGGCCTTGTGAGTCAACTATGAGTTGGCAACGCATAGCCCAGCTTCTCCGGGCAAACCCGGCAGAATCCAGTAGCACAGGCATCTTGTCTTGGAAGCTGGATGAAGACAATCGGCCGCCATTTCCTTCTTTAAGAGGTGAGTGAGGAGGAATTTTAAAGTCAGGTTCGAAAGCAGTTCACATGCTGTGTTGCCTTGGGACATAGAATTGTCCCCTGGGTTGGACCCCTCAAAGCGCCAGCTGGAGTTTGGTCATGTTTCTCTGGTGCATGTTGTGATGGCGGACTAATTCGTCTGATCGGGCAAACTTTTTCTGACAACTGGGCCACCGACAGCTGAAGGGCTTTTCACCTGTTGACACAATTGCCAGTCAGACACTTGCAGTGGAAAGACTGGGTACAAGCTCAACTATCAAAGGCCCAAGTTAAATCATCACAAGGTACCCACTCCAGATTCCCTCTAGTTCTGTCCCTAAGCTCATGAATTGGGCTCATTTCACACGCAACTCATGAAATGGCAGTGCCTCTGAGGCCTTGAGGATTAAAATATTGTAAAAGTTATAAAATATTATTAAGTCAGAAGATGGGAAATGGGAGAGAAGGAATGAGTCTAGTTAATGGAAATGTCTGGGCGTTTCATATTTAAGGGGGAAAAGACATTTGTTTCAACCTCTCCTGTTAGACTGTTTTGTGAACTGTGTAGATTTTCCCCCTTTGCTGTCTAAGTAGGGACTTGAGCTTCACTGGGCTGTGAGGGTCTCAAGGTCATCACCATACTGACTGATTGCTATCCAGCAGCAGAACTGTGACTGTAGCTTTAAAATCTCTGTCTACATAGATACTTTGGACAGATGGAGTATTTTTAAATATATCACTGATACCAGTGTGCATGGTATTTGCTTCTTTTTCCTTAAAGTACTACTTAGAGCATAATCCCTGTTGTACAGAAAATTCTAGTTGAGGCGTGGTTTTGAGATCTTTAATAAGCTTGCCAAAAGATCAAGGCTTCTCCATCTAAGGCACCCTCGGAAGTTCCTTCCAAGCCTCATTCTGCATAGGGAAGATAATTAGCATTTATTAAGTGCCTAATATATGCCAAGCCTTGTCCTGGGCACCATATATATACACCTTGCCTCATATACTCCTTACAACTGCCCTGTAAGGGAAGCAGCATTATCCCCACTTTATAGATGAGGTTGGATATTTGGAGAGGGCAGACCCAGGCAGACTCAAATCTAGGTCTGTCTAATTTCATAGCTCATGCACTTTGCTGTATCTCACCTCCTGGGCCTACTCATAATGGAAATACAGCCGTGACTTTACGCTCAGTAAAAATGCCAATCCCTGAACCACCTGGGGAGGGGGCATTCTTCTTAGGATATCACTGGTCCCACTGTCTTCTCTAAGAACTACTAGTCAGGACAAAGATTGAGAAATGTCCTAGGAGAGGCATTATCACAAGGTCAAGACTGGGGACGATCAAGTATACTATTAAACCATCTGCTGGCAACAAAGGTTGCTTCGCACCTATGTAGATATGCACAGAGTAGGGGGTCAGGGTACAAGGGATGATAACTCTTTCCGACCAAATTATGAGCTCAGCACTCAGACAAAGAAGTGACACCAAAAGCATCTGAGTAGGGGGAGTGAGATACACACCCCACCAACTCTAGGGCACAGGTGCCTTGACTCTGAGTATAAAATTGCAGCCTGTTTGGGTTGAGAATCTGGGACTGTATGGGGGGCTGGTGACGTCACGTCTTCCCTCACCTCCCACTTGCTGTTCCTCTGCTCTTCCTGATCCTGGCCGCTGGCCCCTATCCCCCCGTCCTCAGCCATGCTGTCAAAGGTTGTCTCCTAATGGACAAACCCCCACTCTTTCTCATGCTGGTTTTCCTTTTTCTCAGTCCATCAGTGGTATTCAGCTCTGCTGGCTTTGGCTCTCTTCTTAATTCCCTTTCCTCCCCAGGCTGTGAGATGAACCCCAAACCCCAAAACCCTCTTTCTCCAACAAAGAAGGCAGTGGGAAATGGTGGGCTGGGAGCAGATAAAATGGGGTTTGCTACTTACTTTCTTGCTTTGGGACTTTAGACAAGTCATTTAGTCACTAAATGCTTCTGTCCCCTCATCTATAAAATGAGGATAAAACACGCCTGCCCCTACTCTTCCTACAAGGATGTTGTAACGATAAAGTGAGATCACCTAGGCACTGGTCCTCCTTCCAAAGCTGAAGAATACAACAAAGATGGTGCTGTTTTCACTATGAATCACACCAGCCTTATAGAGAAGCAAACACCTTCAGCAGCCAGTGAATAAATGCCCCATTCCCCCGTATATACTAGTGCGAAGGCAATGATATCCACATGCTGATATGAGTCTGGCAGAAACCATGACGGCTCCTGGGGCATTAATTTTTAGTAGAGAAACGATTCAGGTCTCTGAAAATAATGTCGTGAAACATGAGCTTTCGGGAGAATAAATGTTTGGCATGGTAGAATTTCTGCTGGTTTTCTGTAAGGTTGATTATCATATCAAACTGAGTGATAAAAATGTGATGATGCAACCAACTGGGAACAGGAGGGACCTAGCTTATCTCGTCGATTTTCTTCTGGACACTCATGAAAAGAGTTCTTTTCGCCTCTCTCTCCTGTTCTGTATCCACCCCCCATCCCTTCTTAAACAATGTTATTATTTAAAGATAGCCATGCACTGTTATTTCTCTCAACCGAGTCTAAACCTGTTTAGAACTTTAGCACTAGTCTTTTCCAATCTCTCTCATCATAAACAACTTCATTTAACAGTAGTTTAAAAAAAAATAATGAAAAATAAATGTGAAGAAAAGTTTACGCACTTGTTTTACCTGTATGAGTCCTGGTGTGGGTCTTCAGATGGTCGGACCGGGAGAACTTTCGCTGACAAGTTTTACACTGGAATGGTTTCACACCTAAACGGACAGAGAAGGTCTAGCCGCAGCCCTAACAACGTGGGGGCAGAAGGCCTGCTTCCCGGTGGCCCGAGGAGCCGGGTATTTCCAGTCACGCCTGCAACATCTGCCTCGCCCTCAGATTTCCCCCAGGCCCGGCATGAACCACCTGATTCTGCACCGTAACCCTTGAAGACCTGCTTCTGTCTTGGAAACAACTATTCCTTAACCACATATGTCCAGCTTCTCACCAACGTCTCAGCTGCATCTGAGACGGAAAAAGTGAATCACACACTGCAAAAGGGATTCTGATCTCAACCACCCACGTTCTTTAATGATGCTCAGTGTATCATCAGCAAATTACTAGTGGGATCTCATTGTTCTGTGGTTTACAGGAGAAATGTAGGATGCTTCTTTTTCTTTTCTTTCTTTTTTTAAGAGAAGGAAAATCCTCAGAGATTAGGGGAAAAAATTAGAAGAATGAAACAAATGGCTGACCCTCTCACATCCATATTTAACAAGAACCACAAAATCAACCGTAACTCAAGGGAAACACACTGCCAGCAATGAGAAGTGAACCTACAAACCTGTGTGTCTCCTTTGGTGTCTTTTGAGCTGGTCTGAACGAGAAAACCTTCGCTCACAGTCCTTGAAGTCACACTGGTATGGTTTCTCACCTTGGGGAAGACACATATTCCATTTGAAAATGATACTGGAAATGGAAATCTTGTTAAAGGCAACCTTTCCTACTGGGACTGAAGGGACCCCAAAATGCCTAAGGCATTTCAGTGGAGCTTGTTAGGTTGGCGCTGCCAACTGCAATGTGAGGTTAAAGGCCCACCTGTACATAGGCTCATGCACAATGCATGTAGAGGGGGCGCTAGGTGAATGAGGATGGTCCCTCGCCTCCTAGTCAGAAGCGAACGGGAACTCAGGTCCTGGAGTCTGAAGCTAAGGTCACATCCAGCTCTGCCACTTAAAGTGCTGGGTGATGTACAGTTTCCTTATTGTGAAATGGGGCCAATAATCTGACAATTTCCAAGGATTTATGAATGGATTAAATCAGACCATCCACATAAAGGTCTTAGCCCAGCACCTAGCACACAAGCAGGGCTCAAAAATCACTGGCCGAAAATATTTAGACAAATAATACACCAAAGAAGTCTTGACTCCTAGACCGAGTCTAAGGCAGACTTCTGAGATGGACGTACGTTAGAGCTGGCCCCATGAAATGAGTGTTTTATATTTTATGGCCTTAAGATTTGTGTTCTCTGCTCCTGACTTCTCATTTCTGAGTCAAGCATAAACCGCTACATGGTTGTGAGATGCTCAAGTTAAACTAGAAGCCAAAGCGGTTAGAAAATTTTTGCTACCCCTTTATCCGAGAGAAGTCAATAGTGGGATTACACAACCTCCTGCCTCAGAATGGAGAAGCCCCACCCTGTCCTCGCCCGAGAAAGTTCAGCCAAATACTGGGAACTCAGCCCCATGAGTACACTGAGCAACCTCAGGCCTTCCCACCTCCTTATGAGAATTCTGAGTCACCAGCATTCTAGGATGGAGAGCAAGCTATCCGGGTATCAGTCGGGTCTTTCCGTTGCAGGGCAGTCCCTAGTTACCTTTCCAGCCCCAGAACCTCCTCAATTCACATGATTAATCTGTATTCCTGCTATATCAGAGCTTGGCGTTCTCGAAATCTGCCTTGCGCTCCACTCAGACTAACACCTCCACATTCCCATCCGGCAAAAAGCCTACTCTATGTTCCTCACAAGTGCCACTTTCCCTGCGATGCCTTTCTAGAAACTTCATGATTGAAGCCCTTCCAGGTTGAAAGCCCTTCCTTCCCTCATCGCATTACAGAACATCTAAAGTGGTGGGCCGTGTCCAGGTCTTCCTTCTTCCATGGGCTGGAAAATCCTGAGGGCAGGAGCCTTTCCTTAACTTAACTTCCTGTATCCAGCCCAGAGACTTATACTTCAACTCTCTACAGCCTGGAGAGGACAGCGCCCCTACACAGTCTCATTTCTTTCCCCTGCTTTTCTCTGCTTCTTCTTCTCTTTTACTTTCTCTGCTTACCAACCCTTTGATGGTTAACTCAAGCCATTCCTCCTCCAAGAAAACTTGGGATGACCCTATTTCAAATCAATACCCTCTGAACAATTTTTCTCAACTCCTCCACCCTCAGGTTTAATACGTTATTATATACTCTTAGTGCCTGTTCATTTGGGTATATCCTAACTCCAACACAGATGATAAACTCATTCCGAGGAGGATCATGACTCGAGAGTTCAAAGGAATGAGTTTGAATTCTACTTCCACTACATCCTACCCATCTAATAATTGTTTTATATGTGAGGATTAAATGAAATCATGCATGTAGAGAGCCTGGCACATAGAAAGTATTTAACATAAAAGTACTTAGTATAACAGTCTGCACTGTTATTATAAATAAATTTTTTAAAATTGCACTCTTTCAAGAAGGGGTCACAGGATTGTTATATACCAGCCTGCCCCTCTATCTCCTGCCAGGAAGAGCTTCTTAAAGGCTCCAGAGGGTCTGAGGTGTTGGCTATCTTGTCCACTGTCTTCCCTTCACACAGACATCTAACCTTCATTATTTTCTAAGTGCCTCTTTTCTACTAAAAGTTTCTATAATCATATTGCCTTCGATGTATTCCCTCACATCTTTCCAGACAGAATTTTACTTTAACACTTTCTTTATAACCTTAACGTTTTTCTTTGCAAATAATCCTCTTTGGGGAAATATGTAAAAATAGAACATGCCACTAGTTCTCTCATCTTTAGCCTCAAAGCAAGTGGTCTACTGAGTGCAAACTCAGGTTTATACCAGAATTGCAACCTCTAGATGCCATGACTTAGCAAAGTCTAATGGTTTAGAGATCCGGATGCAGCTCACTTTTTTCTCTCTCTTCCCCAAAGAAAAGTTAGCAGTAACAATATGATAATAATGCTGATCAGAACAACAAAGCTGTCCTTTAGTTGTGAAAAGAATGGCACCAGCTCCCCTGTGGGAAAGTCTGCACTTCTCACTGTTCCCCTGTAGGGGAGCCCAACCTCATTCCCATCCACTCCCAATGCCCAGAGCAAATATTTGTGGAATGGCTGGCTATTCACATTCAAGGTGGCCAACAACCAGAGGAGGCCAGTTCTCTTCCCCCAAGGGAGACCTGTGGGAAAATCCAGTTTTCCTTAACATATCATCAAAAATCATCATCTCTTTTTTAAAGATTAAAAACAAAAGTTAAACCTCCAATCCATTTTCCCATTTCTATCTGATTGGTTATTACCAACCCAAGAAGTTAAGTATTTCTTTAAACAATCTCTTCCTAACCTTGAGATAACCTTGCCCATCCATCTCTCAAAATTGTCTGCTTACCCACCTCCCAGGCTAGCTCCTCTCTCTTTAGAGATGCTAATAGTATTCTAATAGTAACACTATCGTTCATTCAGACCTAGGGACATAGGGTAGTTTAGTAGATGCTTCATACCTCTAACTCTTTTGATTCAATTTGATTTTAAAAGTTAATCTGCCTTGACAGTTGTATGAGGTAAACATGATCATCTCCGTTTTCCATGTAAAGCACACGAACTTCAAAGAGAAGTTAAGAAACTTTCTCAAGCTCTCACCACTTGGTGGTAAAGCCAGAACTCGAACCCAAGTCTCTTTAATTCTGTGCGATTCTCTTTCCGCCACTCTGCTCTGCTCTTCCTGAAGACAGTTTACTGACTTCTTTATTAAAGGATGGACAATCAAGATCCAAAATGGCCCAGCAGCCTTTTTCTGTCACCTGACCAGACCTTTCAAAGCAGTGTTTACTTTCCATCTGAAAAATCACCTGTGTTCTTACTGGAGTGAGATCCAGAACAGGAGTTCCTGGACTGCCTCTGCCCAAAGGCCACCACGACCAAGGCTGGACGGGGGACACACTTACCAGTGTGCTTCCGGCTGTGCATCTGTAAGTGGGACAGCTTAAAATATCTCTTATTGCAGCCCGGGTAAGCACACATGAAGGGCCGTTTCTCACTAGTCTCAGATGCTGACCGGACAAGAGTCGGGGCTACTCCAGGCACGCGCCGCACATCCTGAAAGCACAACATAAGAGAAATGCAGGCTTTAAGCCACTTGTAAATATTCACATCAGTCCCAAAGGAAAACGAGCATTGGACTATATACCCAAGGAAAGGATGGCAGATACAAGGCCTGAAACCACGCCCCTCCACACCCCAGATGCCCACAGCAGGCATCGCTAATGGATGATAGATCATCACTATAATCAAGCAGAACCAGTACTTGAATTCATTTGGGGGTACTGAGCCAGGGCATCTGTAAAAGACATGCTGGCAGAGCTCCCGCTCCATCTTGTCTCTCAGCTTCTCCACTTGAGACAGTGAGGTCTTGAAGTCCAAAGCGCCAGATTCTACTCGCATCCCTCCCACTCAGACACATGGCCACATGACTTGGAGCCTAACATGAAATGGGCGGGGAGGTCCTTTTTAGAGAGAAATGTAGAATACTGGTTGAGCCCCAAACTGACTAGACCTTCCACATCTGAGTAAATGACAGAAAGAAGGAGCCTCTGAGATTTGCGGGTTCTGTCTGTGAAGGGGAGCTGAAATCACCAGAGGTCCCATGGAGCCAGTACAATCTTTTAATAATGACACTAGAAAACACTGTGTCTGCCTTTCGTGCACTTTACACGTCCTCCACAGGGCATTTTGTTGGTCCCTTTTGTCTTGTAGGAGCGAGTGTGTGCAAGGTCAGTCCTCCAAGAGAAGGAGCTAGAGGAAAACGATGAGGCAAACTCCCCTTCCTGCTCAGGATCAGAGTCACAGACGGGAGCAGTGGAAGTGCCTGAGGGGCAGCTGAATCCCCCTCATTCTCGTACAGATGGGCAAGGCCAGGCCAAAGGGCACATCCAGGTTTTGTGTTAAGACCTAAAACAACTTCTGAGTTTAACCCATTCTCTGCTCTGTGCATTTTCCACACCACCCTCATGCTTCTGTTCTAGTTTTTATTTCACACTGCCTTGCATTGTGAGAGCTTCTGTTTTGAAGAAAAAATACCATAGTGACATGCAACTTTGCTGTTGCTAAGCCACAGAGTCTCAAGGCAAATGGTGGCATAAATATGAATGGTGAGCCACTACGTCTGATTAGTAGACTCCAGGAGAAAATGAGAGGGTAATGAAACCAGTCTGGAGTCTATCACAGGCCATGACAGTGAGTCTGACAATCCGGGCTTGGTGGAAAGGAAGGCAAAAAGAGCTTTCTTCATTTCCTTTCATTCATCCTAGATGCCGTGCACATGGCAATAGGATAATAAAATCAAGTTGTCAGTGTCAGTCAGGGTCCTGGTGCAGGATTCTGATGGTATTTGTTGGAGGAGAGGCTGGATGACTCTTTCTGTGCTCTTGTCGGATTTCCATATTTCTGTAACCCTTGCCTTCGTTCTCACATCGAAAGGTCTGGGGTGAAGGAACGCACTGTTCTATCACCATAACGCTTCTGGAAATATTAATCAGAACATCTCAGAGCTACTTGCCCCACACATCATGTGGGGACCTGGCCCACACACAACTTATTTCTAGGGTTCTGACTATTCTGGTGAAAGTATCACAGTTGTTACTCACGTGGCAGCCACTGAGTCATATGCAAAAGTCACAAATGCAAGCCTTTGGTTAACTCTGGTGATTCAGACCACCAAAAAGACTCTGTCCTCCCCAAAACTGTTGACCGCCCTCTGTCTCCCTCAGAGGCAGTATAACATGGTGGTTAAAAACAGGGGTTCTGGAGTCTGTGTTCTAAATCCCCATGCTACCTCTTACTAGCTATGTGATTTTGGACAAGTCAGTCATCTTCTCTGGACTTTAGTTTCCTCATCCATAAAACGGAGATAATAGTACCTACCTCATAAAGGTGTACTGAAGATTAAATGGGAAAAAATGTCCGTGTATAGACATGGAAAAAGCTTAAATGCATATTACTATGTGAAAGAAGTCAGTCCCAAAAGGCTACATACCATACGGTTCCAACTATTTGACATTCTAGAAAAAAAGGAAAACTATAGAGATAGTAAAAAATATCAGTGGCTGTGGAGATGGAGGAAGGCGAGAGAGGGGGAGGGATGGACAGGTGGCGCACTGTTAGGCAGTGAAACTATTCTATACGATATTGTAAGGGTAGATGCATAGCGTTATGCATTTATCAAAACCCAGAGAACTCCACAACACAAAAAGTGAACCCTAATGTAAACTATGGACTTTAGTTAACAATGTGTCAATATGCATCTGTTGTAACAAATGTACCATATCAATGCAGGACGGTTAATAATAAGGGAGGAGGAGGAGGGAAGATATGGGAACTCTCTGTACTTTCCCCACAATTTTTCCCTAAACCTTAAACTGCTCTAAAAAAAGTTAAGTCCATTTAGAAAAAAAAAAAGTCATGTATAAAACTTAGCACAGTACCTGTTATTTAGAAAGTGTCCAGATGTATAAGGTGCACTGTTATTATTGTTATTGTTATTATTAGCAACAACTGGCAAGACAGAGTCTACCTTTGGGCACTTTATAAATGCAGACCAAGTCTTCTTAGAAGTCAGGGGTCCAGGTCATTAATTCAAGCCCATTTAGCCCAAATGTAGGAGCTGCTCAGTCCACCACAGAGAAAGCTAATTAAGCAATGAAAGAGGAAAGAATGGGATTCTGCAGGAAGTGTCTTGGTCTGAGTCAGGGAGGCAGCCCCCTTCACACTGGCCTCTGGAGAGGAGGAGGCTGCCCTATCTGCTCCAGTGGAAGATGGGTCCCTGCTGCCACAGGAGCCTAAAATTAGGAACAGAGTTGCCAGGGCCAAATGGCCATCAGCTAGGAAGTGAAAGGGTGTTGAGAAGAGAAAAAGGCAGTGAAGTCCACTGCCAGCCAGGCCCCCTGAGGACTCACCTGAATGCCCCTGAAGACGCCATGGGTGTGTATTCTGTATTGGGCGCCACAGAGGATGGGTGTTGTGTGGTTATCACTTTCATATCCCGTGCCGTGGCTACAAACACAAAGAAGGGAGAACAAGACTCAGATTGGTCCACAGGTGCCATTGGAAATGTGCATCTGCAGCAGGAGGAATGTTTTTTAAAAGCTCACAGGACCACGGTTGGTTTTTTTTGTTTTTGTTTTTGTTTTGCCTCCCTCCATCGGGTCTACTTCAGAAGTGAGGCGTTGTGAGCAGTTGGCTGCTCGATTCTCCTGTCACAACCACGCAGCCCTCCCTCACACTCAGATTCTCGCAGACACACCACAGCATCTGGGTCTATGCCTCTCAGACAAGCCGGGAAAAGTCACAGTGGCAAGATTTCATCCCCAGGAAGTTGCTTACCATCTAGATGGGAGGGCTGACAGCTGTGAATATCTCGGGAATGAGCAGATGCCTCAAGTTCACATCAAGTACAATGGATTTTTGTTGGCACCTCATGACTCAGTTTGTAGCAGATAGCACCAAGAAAGTGATGACACTTACAAGAAGAGATGTTGTGTCCTCAGAGGTGGAGGTTACACATCTGTGGCCCTGCTCCACTTAATCTACAGATGAGTTTTCCAGATCGACTTAACTCTTTGCAGCCAACCCATGCCATAGGTGGACATGGAATACGCTTCCTCTACCATTAGACTTAGTCCCCTAGCCAATGCTCAGCTTAACCTTGGACCACTAGTGAGAGCTAAGGGATGTGGAATGTTGAAAAGAACCACTTGGAAGGTGTGGATAGTCTGCTCTAAAAGTATTCTCTCTTTCAGGAGAAAGCTGATAACTGTTCTGTGGTTATTTTACTTCCAAATGAGACAGAGTAAGGATTTTTACCCACGTGGGCAGCATTTTATAACCACATCTCAAATCGCCATGGAGAGCTTTTACGAAATACCTCTTTGAAGTAGTGCAGCTGCTTTGGAAAATGTCTGGCAGTTCCTCAAAAAGTTAGACATAAAGTTACCACATGTCCCAGAAATTCCACTTCTAGGTATATTCCCAGGAGAAATTAAACATATGTTTACACAAAAAGCTGTGCATATTGTTTGTGAGCATCATTTATTCATACTAGCCAAGAAGTGGAATCAACCCAAATGGCCATCAGCTGATGAGTGAATAAACAACATATAGTACATTTATAAAATGAAATATTATTTGGTGATAAAAAAGAATGAAATACTGATACATGATAATGTGGACAAACCTGAAAAACATGCTAAGTGAAAGAAGTAAGTCACAAAGGACCACCTATTGTGTGATTCCATTTATACAAAATTGTCCAGAACAGGCAAATTTATGGCAATAGAAAGTAGATTGGTGGTTGGTTGCTTAGATCTGGGGAAGTTGGAGAGAAATGGAGAGTGACTGCTGAAAACGTCCTAAAATTGTGGTGACAGTCATACCATTCTGTGAATATACTAAAACCACCGAATGGGTGAACTGTATGGTATATGAAACATGTAAGGCTGCTTTAAAAAAATTAGCTCAAGAGATGAGGTCCATGCACCAGCATTTTTTTTAAGCCTCCAGGTGCAGTTAACTGGCTGGCAGGGCTGAGAACCTCTACCCTCTGCCCGTTACTCTAGGGATTCCAGAGGTCCCAGTGCCAGAAGCAGATCGCTTGGCTGATGAGCCCACTCCATCTAAAGGTGTGGGGAAAGCCCAGCGTTGGCTCAACTCTCACTCATCCAGGGGAGAAAATTTCTGGAAGGGAAATTTTCTGCCAGGATGACTGACATGTCCACACACCTTATAGCCACAGCAGCTGTGGGGTTTCACATTTAGTTCTGACCTCAAGCTATTTAGAAAGAATTGCCTGTTTCCTTTACTCAGAGCAATGATAGCAGTTTGGGGAGGTGGGTGGCAGTCTG